CCCCGGGAATCGTTATCGTTTCGTCGTTATCGTCGAAGTAGAACTTGTTGTTCGTCGAGTCAACGTTCGGTATCGTGTTGTAAGATTCGAAGTTTGTAAGACGGAGTTTGTGAACTCCGTCGCTCAGATTGATAGGTGGATAGTAACTCACCGCGAGAACGCTGCTGTTACCGGTTAATGTGAGCGTGATCGACATTGTTGAGAGCGCGCGAGAACGATTGCTCACCACTCGAGATCTCTCAGAAATCGCAGACACAACTGACCGCAAACGTTCTGATCGTACGTTTGATACTGATGACGATTGTACGCGATCGCCACGTTGCTTCCTAGATAGCGCTCGAGTTCTCGCGGCGGACGCAAGTTGCCGAATCCGTCAAAGTACACCGCGTTGCGTCCTTTCTTGGCGTAGGCGACCCAATGCGTGCCCGGTCCGATAGCGTTGTCGAGAGTGACAATGCCGCTCTCGTTCGCGCGTACGCGCGCGGGTAAGGCGTTGCGCATAAATATACCCCTAAAGAACGGTATGCGAAGTCGTCGGGCAAGCGCGTCGAGTTGCACATTCGTGGTAACACCGGATGGTAAAGCGACATCTATCGCTTGCTTCCGCGTAGTTTTTTTTTTTTTTTTACCGCGAAGACCTCTTCCGAATGCGTTGCGCTTGTAAGGTTCGAGATACAATCCGCGACCTTTCAACGCGTGATTGTGTCGTTGCAGTTCCTCCAATTGGCGCGCAGCGGCCTTTCGATCGCCAACGGCTTTTGCTACACCAGCCGCACCACCGATCAACGATCCGATGGCTCCCAGCACAGGCAATAGGGGCAACAAGCCGCTGCGTTTAGCAACCGGTAGAATTCTCTTTTTCTTTTTCGCATGTCTTTTCCTTTTACCTGTCTTGTGTCTCTTCGAGCCCGCGCCGAGCTTCGTTTTGACCTTCATGGCCGCCCAAACAGCCGTTGCGGCAACTTTTTCTCCCAGAGTAGAGTTGGCGGCTGTTATGCATTTGCGCGCTTTTTTAGCGAGCAACCGGTCGGCGTCGTGACGCGCGGCGAGTTCGGAATTGCGCGAGTAGGTGATGTCGTGCTCGCGACACGCGGCGTCCAACGGATTTATTCCGCGATCGTTCCGCGCCAACCGTTTGGCGAGCTTTTTGCCGGGTCCGCAAAATTGATAGCCCGGTATGTGCAATTCAAACGGCAAAGCGTTTATAGCGCTGTTCAACAGACCTGCGCCGTTCGCGAAACGCATCCGACGCGGTTTCGACGACCAATCGCGTTCGAACGTTTGTTCAGTTCGCTCGCGACCGCTTGCGCTACGCTTGTCGCAACGACTGAGCAATTGGCGATTCAACAACTGTTTTTTTGTTGTTTTTTTTACAAAACAATTTTGGAATCGCGCCGACGCGCTGCGCAAGCGCGAAACGGACGGCGACATGCGTTTCGTTAAACAACCGTTTGCGATACGGGTGTCGAATGTCGAAGAACGAACGCGACGATCAAACGAGGGGGAGAAAAACGCGCGAAGCAAAAAGAGGCACGGTCCTCTTCTGCCGAACGCGATACGCGCGATCGTTTGCGGGCCGTCCAACTGCGGCAAGACGAACGTTCTGATACGTTGGTTGGAGAGTCCGCACGGTGTTTGATTCAAGAACATTTACGTGTATTCGAAGTCTCTGCATCAACCAAAATATCGCTATCTGGAGCAATTGTTGGGATCAATGGATGAAATAGGTTACTTCACGTTCGCGAACAACTGCGAAGTTGTGCCGACGAACGAGGCTTTGCCCAATTCCGTGTTCGTGTT